GTGGCTGACGGCGGAACTCCTCCAAGGTTGAAGAAGAGTGGTCGAAAGGCTGACTAACTGCACAGTCGAGGAAGACGCTGGAACTTGTTGACCCAAAGCCAAAGCCACAGCCTGAACGATAGCATTAAAGTCCATATGGTGGGATGCCGAACCATCAGACGATGGGTCCCAAGAAACTGGACGAATAGGTGTGGTTGCAGGTCCCGAAGCGGGTGGCAAAGTCGAACCCGGGCAGGCATGGAGGGTTGACGTAAAGATCAAGTTAACCGCTTAAGAGGATCCTGCTGGTATAGACAAATCCTGTTGATGAAGTGACGCGAGCGTTACATTCGGTGAAGGCAGTGTACTGGGAAGCAAACACGAACCCACTGTAAATGCCCCGCCCGAAGAACCAGTAGAGATTGTAGGAAGTGCCGCTCTCGTGGAACTAACCCCCGCCGTTGAAGGAATTAGATAAGAAGATTGAAGCGCCACATCCGGAGGGAATGGAACTGTAGATAAAGCCGGAAAACACCAAGTCGAACCAAGTAGCACACTAGCAGCTATGCGAAGTTAACCGCCAGAGAGCTGCCAGACTGGAGGGAGCTGTGTACCAGGAGTACTGGAGGCAAGCTAATAGGAAGCAAGCACCGAATTGGAAACAAGCGCCTCACTGGAGGCTAGTGCCAAACTGGGATCAAATGCCAAACTGGAAGCAAGGGCCAAACTGGAAGCAAACGCTGAATTGGAAGCAAGCGCTGAACTGGAAGCAAGCGCTGAACTGGAGACCAGCACCGAGCTGGAGACAAGCGCCGAACTGGAAGCAAGCGCCAAACTGGGGACAAGTGCCGAACTGGAGACAAGCACCGAATCCAGGCATGCAACCAAACTGGAGACAAGTGCCGAACTGGGAGCAAACGCTGAACTGAGAGCATTAAGGGCCGAACTGACAGTAAGCGCTGAACTGGTAGTAAGCGGCACTGTGGTAGCAAGTACCGAACTGATAGTAAGCGCCGAACCAGAAGGGATCGACGCACTGGATACTTGCTGCACTTGAAATTGATGGTGTTCTGTAGATAAATGTGACGGCATACAGAACAGAAGTAGCAAATGGCGCATCAGAAACCCTCAGTACGCTGGTAGATATCAAGGGATGATATTGAAGCGCTGAACTGGGAGCAAACGCTGAACCAGTCCAAAGCGCTGAACTGGATAAAAGTGGCGCACTGGCAGAAACGTCGTACCAATCAGCAAGCTGGAAAGCGCCGAATCCAGAGCAAGCACCGCTTGCGAGTGATTGCCAGTCAATCCAAATGCCGCACTGGAAACCAGTCCCATCAAATGACGAGCGCTCTGTGAAACTGTCACCAGAGAAGCCGAACGAGCTCGAGCAGCAGACGTAGTTAACACAACTACTCTGGGTAGAAAACAATCTACAGTGGTGACAGGACTGGACGTCTGCAGATGAAACAATTGTCGTAAAAGTCAGACGCATCAGCAAGAAACTCTTCATTTGGAGACGGAGAACGAGAGCGACGATCTGACTTAAAGTGCTTCAATGAAGAAGGACCCTCAGAGGGTTACGGCGAAATCGGTTGGCCATCTGCCTGGATGCCACCCGGCGATACTCTGAGAACGCATCATCGTCAAGTCCAGCACAAAAAGTGCATCGTTCTGAACAGTCACACCGTCCCAAACAATCCACACAACGCGAGTGTGGGTCTGCCACCGAAAAATTACTGTTGCATCTAACGCAGTGCTTGTCGTTTCTTAAATGCACTACGACTTGATTAGCCCATGATTGAACAAACAATCAAATTCACTGAAAAACAGCACACGTCTACACATGGCAACAAGTAAGAGAATGACAAGGGCAGGCTGTCAGGTGATCATCGAAGCTATCTGCACGCTTATGGAGATGATTGACAGGTCCTGCTATGGAGTGGGGCAGAGGTCAGGGGTCAGAGGCCAGAAAGTTTGATAGAACTTAGCCTACAGCCCGTTTCCACACATGGTCGTACAGAAGAAGAGAGGTGCATAGCGTGAGATAGGATAAGTTTAAAAATTTATTGTTATACACAAATACCTTCAAATAAAATCATTTTAAATCTTAATACTGTGTCATTCTTTCAAGGTGTATGTATCGTGATACGTATCGTATCGCAGGTAAAATATCGTGATACATATCGTATCTTGACATAGTGTATCGTCCCAGCCCTAGTAACTATTACGTAACGCGAAATAAAGGCCTATTAAAATCATATTTCCATGGACATAACAAAATTGCTATTTCATGTACTGTGCCCAGTATAAGGAAACCCCTGGCATTTCAGCTGTAAGGATGAGAAGACCAGGGCTTAGACTAAAAGCCCTTTTAGCGCTAAGATAGTCCTAACTTAATGTTATATGTATGGCACTTACGACTATCTTAGCGCTAAGAGAGCTTTGAAAATCTAGGCTCAGTATTGCTGCATGAGAGGCAACTTCTGAATGCAGAGAGCAAACTCACGTAAACTTCACACATTGCACACATACAAAAGACCTTTCATGGTAACAGCTTGTGGTGATGTGCATATGCCAATAAATATCATAATCAAATTGTTCATTCAACTGGCAGTAAGAAGGAAAATGCCTCCAGATGTGTGCATAACAGAAAATGAAAAATCACACATGGGTTTACAAGGATTGAAACTTGTGCTTGATCTGAGTGCCATGGCACGGTAAATAATGCAATGAAATATTTCCAGTGTACCCTGGCAGCACGACTAAAAATTATAAAATGATAACATGATTCATTCAATAGAAAACATATAATTCAAAAGCTATTTTTGCACCCTATCAAACTGTTTATCTGTGGCAACCTATCTCACGGCTTAACATGGGCATGGCCATTTTGAATGATAGTCAGCATAACATGAAATCACACTTTGGATGATAACATTGCTTGTGGGTTAGTTTATCTGTCTGGGACAAAGAACATGAATAGTAGTTGCAGCCATGATTTTGTTCAGGAAATGCAGCTCTCAAGTTTAGAGGTTTACATGTTGTTTACTGATTATTAAAAATTCAATTCAATTCAATTCAATTCAAATGACATAATTGTTCGGATTATCAAAATGTATTGGCACTACTATCTTTTCCTGCTCTGAAATGTTTATAGTCAAGAGCTCTCCCTGTGAATATATTAGTGGTGTAACGATTCATCGATAGTATCGATGTTTACATCGTCAACTATGCGATACGAGTGCATCGATACAAAACACACTTAGGTAATATATCAGGATATTTATATCGCAAGGGTCCATGATACATCGATGTATCGCCACAAGAGACGATATATCCCGATACAACTTGAACACTACTTAAAGTTATAAGAAATATTGCATTAGTAATAGGAAAGGAGTCTCTTTGAAATACTTCTGAATTTTAAAAACAAATTGAACCTTAAAGGAATTTGTTTGTGTCTGTTATCTTTGTTACATGAACAAAGGAGTCGGTGTATAAGTGAAAGAGTGTGAACATTTTACAAACTCTGTGAACTGTAGAATACTTGTCTTCAAGTAATTGAAATATGTTTTAGCTGTTTGACAAATAACACTTCTAACAACTATGAACAATGTCTTACCTTTGTTAAGAAGGAGAACAAATAGAAGATATAATTTAGACTGACTGACTGACTGAGTTTGGTTTTACGCCGCTTTTAGCAATATTCCAGCAACATCACGGCGGGGGACACCAGAAATGGATACAATTTAGAAAGCAGACTTAAGAGTTCTTGTCAGTGATTCGGAATTCTGATACAAGTTAAATTAAGTTGTTTGTGAAAGCATTGGTGTAGAAACACAACTTCCAAAAGGAAACTTCACTTTCAAATTTATATATATATTAGATTAAGGTATGCTGAATATGTTTGACTGTACTTTCTTAAGCATTAAATGCTGAAACTTATTTAACCAACAACTGTTTAGGTGTGTGTGAATGTAACACAAGTTCTGCTGTATAACAAATAAAGTTTCAGTCATTTTATCGATCATATATGTTCTGTTATTAGAAATTGTAAATTATCGGGATACGTATCGTATCGCCACTATTGCATCGTGATGATAATCGTCTCGCAGGTTCCTTGCCAATACTTTCATGATATATCGTCTCGACTCATTAAACTGGTATCGGGGGATATATTGTCTGGCCACTTAGGCCACGATACACAGCTCTAGAATATATATATATTTTATAAACAGGAATATGTTTATAGCAATATGTATCATATCAAGAACTATTTATAGCAATACGTATCGCATCGTGATCTATGTATAGCGATATGTATTGTATGGTATTGTGATCTATGTATAGCGATATGTATTGTATCGCATGGTGATCAATGTATAGCGACACATATCATAATATGATCTATGTATAGCGATATGTATTGCATCGCATTGTGATCTATGTAGAGCGATATGTATTGAATCGCATTGTGATCTATGTAGAGCGACACGTATCATAATATGATCTATGTATAGAGATATGTACCGCATTGCAATCTATGTATAGCAATATGTATCATATCGTGATCTATATAGAGAGATATGTATCGTATCCTGATCTATGTATAGTAATATGTATCACATCGCAAACTATGTATAACGACATGTATCGTATCATGATCAGTGTATAGTGATATTTATCGTATTGTCATCTATGCATAGTGATATACATGTGTATCTTTTCACCCCAAATAACAATATATAATAGCAGTGTAATGTCCGTCTGTTGTGACGGCAACCTGAATATAACTTGCACCCAAGGGCAATAATCCATTACAATATATTTATTGCTTATACAGCAATTCTGTGTCCACATGAGCAATCAATTATATTTGCATTTCAGGGTAACATTTTTAGCTGATCATACTCTTAATATGCATTATACAATAACCTTAAGCCAGAAAGAAATTTGAATTTTATAAGATGGCAAGAGTCATGGAAATTTCAGCATGACACGGAACCCCAGACACTCACCACTGTGTCCCAGCCTCACAGTGAGAATCCAGGAACACGATGACATCACCCGTGGCAGCCTTGGCGCCTTCGATACGGGCCCGTATCAAGCCACTCCTCTGTTGGGTCCTCACCATCTTCACGATGCCATCAGGCCAGGTCTTCTCCACGTAGGTCTTCAACTTGTCTCCCAACTCAGCTGCAACAGAAAGGGAACTGGTCAAATACACAGGTGTATATAACCATTGTAGTATAGTTAGGTCTCATACTTAGATGATATAGCATAGATATGGGTCTGATATTTAGCTGTTGTAGCATAGATGAGTTACACATAGCTGATGTAGCACAGATGGGTCTGTTACACAGTTTACATAGCATTGACGGGTCTGATATTGCTGATATAGCATTGGTGGGTCTGATATTGCTATTATAGCACAGATTAGTCTGTTACACAGTTTACATAGCATTGATGGGTCTGATCTTGCGGATATAGCATTGGTGGGTCTGATCTTGCTGATATAGCATTGGTGGGTCTGATATTGCTATTTTATTATATAGGTAGTATTTTTCCTGTACCACAATTGGTCAAAATACCGTCACATGATTGACTACAAAACTGGATATTGACTTGAGTTTTCTGATAAATGACGATATTGACTTGGGTTACTAAAAATAGACAAGGAATCCCTCGCACGGTCTTCCCAGCGCCAGCCAATCAGATCACTCGGATAGATGGCACAGTGTGCGCATTAAAAGTTTATGTTAAAACCCGTTTCTCTTTCATTATATAATAAAACAATTATAGACTCTTGTAGAGGTCGATATCGGTTTTTATTGACCTGAGAAAAACAATATCAACCTCTACAAGAGTCTATAATTGTATAATAGCACAGATGGGTCTGATATTGCCATTATAGCACAGATGGGTCTGTTACACAGTTTACATAGCATTGATGGGTCTGATATTGCTATTATAGCATTGGTGGGTCTGATATTGCTATTATAGCACGGATTGGTCTGTTACACAGTTTACATAGCATTGATTGGTCTGATATTGCTGATATAGCATTGGTGGGTCTGATATTGCTATTATAGCACAGATGGGTCTAATATTGCCATTATAGCACAGATGGGTCTGTTACACAGTTTACATAGCATTGATGGGTCTGATATTGCTATTATAGCATTGGTGGGTCTGATATTGCTGATATAGCATTGGTGGGTCTGATATTGCTATTATAGCACAGATGGGTCTAATATTGCCATTATAGCACAGATGGGTCTGTTACACAGTTTACATAGCATTGATGGGTCTGATATTGCTATTATAGCATTGGTGGGTCTGATATTGCTATTATAGCACGGATTGGTCTGTTACACAGTTTACATAGCATTGATGGGTCTGATATTGCTGATATAGCATTGGTGGGTCTGATATTGCTATTATAGCACAGATGGGTCCAATATTGCCATTATAGCACAGATGGGTCTGTTACACAGCCTACATAGCATTGATGGGTCTGATATTGCTATTATAGCATTGGTGGGTCTGATATTGCATTATGAGCCGCGGATTGGTCTGTTACACAGCTTACATAGCATTGATTGGTCTGATATTGCTATTATAGCATTGGTGGGTCCGATACTGCTATTATAGCACGGATTATCTGTTACACAGCACATAGCATTGATTGGTCTGATATTGCTGATATAGCATTGGTGGGTCCGATATTGCTATTATAGCACAGATGGGTCTAATATTGCCATTATAGCACAGATGGGTCTGTTACACAGTTTACATAGCATTGATGGGTCTGATATTGCGCTATTACAGCATTGGTGGGTCTGATATTGCTATTATAGCATGGATTAGTCTGTTACACAGTTTACATAGCATTGATGGGTCTGATATTGCTGATAAAGCATTGGTGGGTCTGATATTGCTATTATAGCAAAGATGGGTCTGTTACACAGTTTACATAGCATTGGTGGGTCTGATATTGCCGATATAGCATTGGTGGGTCTGATATTGCTATTATAGCAAAGATGGGTCTGTTACACAGTTTACATAGCACTGATTGGTCTGATATTGCTGATAAAGCATTGGTGGGTCTGATATTGCTATTATAGCAAAGATGGGTCTGTTAAACAGTTTACATAGCACTGGTGGGTCTGATATTGCTGATAAAGCATTGGTGGGTCTGATATTGCTGATATAGCATTGGTGGGTCTGATATTGCTATTATAGCACAGATGGGTCTGATATTGCCATTATAGCACAGATGGGTCTGTTACACAGTTTACATAGCACTGATTGGTCTGATATTGCTGATAAAGCATTGGTGGGTCTGATATTGCTATTATAGCAAAGATGGGTCTGTTACACAGTTTACATAGCACTGGTGGGTCTGATATTGCTGATATAGCATTGGTTGGTCTGATATTGCCATTATAGCACAGATGGGTCTGTTACACAGTTTACATAGCATTGATGGGTCTGATATTGCTATTATAGCACAGATGGGTCTGTTACACAGTTTACATAGCACTGAGGGGTCTGATATTGCTGACATAGCATTGATGGGTCTGATATTGCTGATACAGCACTGATGGGTCTGATATTGCTGATATAGCATTGATGGGTCTGATACACAGTTTACATAGCATTGATCGGTCTGATACACTGCTCATATAGCTCATATACACATCTGATATAAGCCGATAAAGAATAAATGGACATGATAACGTATAACATCCTGACACAATACGAATTATTGCTTTCAATTTAGTTTTCTGTTAATGCACACTCAGGCCATGAATCAAAAGAAGTTCTTGAAAGGCATAACAACATAAGGTATGGATTGACAACTTCTTTAATATTTACAACACGTAAATATTAAAGAAGTGAGGTGGTGAGATGAAATTGGGTTTAACGTCATGCTTGAGAATATTTCGCTCATATGACGACGTGCATGCGTGTGTATGTGTATGTGCGGCTGCTTGTACTAGCCCAGACTGAAGCTGGTTTTATAGTGCTAGCCCACTGAGATACCATGCCGCAGTGAAGCATGAATACCCCACTCAGACACATTTTACTAGGGGTGTCGCGGTACGCGAATGTATCGATGCCTCGATACATTTTTACTGACGATACGATACGCGATACGATGCTTGCGAAAGCATCGATTCCTATTTTATAACTTTATCGATTCAAATTTTTATGCTATATCCATCTCCTTCAAAGTCTTGATAGTAAAATTATACGAGACCGCTCTGAAAAATAGATGTAGCTAGCTTTACTTACAAAATAGTTTGGAAACTAACAGCTTTTGTTATTGGCTAGACTATTTTGATGGACCAATCAGCGAGCGCGTACGTTGCCGGTAAGGTAATGCTATGAAAAGGCGCGAAAATTATGTATCGCGATACGTATCTCCGGGCGGACGCTCTAACCACTACACCACGGAGGCGGTCCTTAAAGAAGTTGTAAATCCATACCATACATTGTTATGTTACCTTCCAGCTTCTAAATGCCCTTAAAGTTTCTTGAAAGGTATTGAGAAGTTGGGCAAACATGAATACATGACAGATTTTATGGATAAAAATTATAAAAAGAGCTGTTATCCTTAAAACTTGTCATGTATTGATAAATCAATAGTTTTAAATCCCTGCTCCAAGTGATGGATGTCCTGCTGCAGTTGGTCACAGCTGCATCATATTGACCTCCCCACATCGATATTGCTCTCCATGACACTCTATGCAACTGTGATATGAACACTTTATCAGCAGGTGCCCTTATCACCATAAAATTGCGACAAGTATATATCCAATATACCATGTCATTTTGTAGCCATAAAATATACATATTAATATCAGTGATCATTTGGCTTTAAACATGCAAATCAATGCTGTAATAAATTTAACTTTTTTATCATAGTTATCGATAATAGGCCTTCTTAAGCAAATTTTAAAATGTAAAGTATAATCCATTATACCATGTCATTTTGCAGCCATAAAATATACATAGAACATCAGTGATTATTTGGCTTTAAACGTGCAAATCATTGCCTTAAAATATATTTCTTATCATAGTTATAGATAATAGGCCTTTTTTAGCAAGCTTCTTAAAAACATAAAATATACATCCATTATTCCACGTCATTTTGCAGCCATAAAATATACATAGAACATCAGTGATCATTTGGCTTTAAACGTGCAAATCAATGCCATAATATATATAACTTACTGCTCATAGTAATGGATAATTGGCCTTTTTTTTAGTAAACTTTGCAAAATGTAATTCAAGATTTACTTGCCATATGCCATTGCGGTATGATGATGAAGTTGTCATAGGGCATCACCAATGACCTATATATTTACCTTGAGCCGTTCCTGCCCCTAGTTTTATAGACTAACGCTTAGTCCCTGAATATATATAATTTTGATAGTAACAAATAAACCCATTTTAATTTAAAAGGAGCCCCAGTGAGTTGGGAGATTCAGGACCTGGGGAAATCTAGACTTGCTTCATTTAGGGATTTAGCATTGTAGGGAGGGCTAGGCAGTAGGAAAAATAATATGGTTCAGGGACTGAGACAGACTGCTAGTTTTACTGAAACCCTTGAAAGCATTATCTGCAATGTTCCAGAAGGGCTTCAACCTCCCCACCAGTCTGTAAATCTGGGTCAAGTGAAACTTGATTTTCTTCTTAAGGCCAGACCAATTTTATATCTTGTTTTACAGATTTCTGTCCTCAGAAAACCTAATTAAAGGCAGGAGGGAAAAAAAATAAAAATAAAATCACCAGTCAAAGTAATATTCCTTCTAAATACTCAAAGTATTTTACTTTTGGCAATTTTTGAAGTGTATTTGGGTAAAAAAACAATCTTAAAAAGACTTTTCTTGTAAATATGTAAGTTTACATTATGGCCAATAATAACATTAGGATTTTATATTTTGAGCAGGGAAAGTTTATTAATTTTTTTCTTATTCTTGAAAAAATATGACAGGCGGATCCATAAAACAAGAAATAATATTGGTCTGGCCTAAGGAGATAATAATACAGAGATTTCTTATGCTTCTATTCAGATCATAAGATATAGTCCTTGCTGCAGGCATCCGTGACTAAGTCATGTGAACCACAACAGCCTTGCCTTCAGTTGGCCTTGCCATGTAGTGAAGACAGATCACAATGAGCAT